GCAAGAGAGGCAGTGTGGCAGAAATTGCACCAACATGTGCGCTGGGGGCAAGAACGACAAAGAGGACGACAAAGACAACAAGGATGGCGGCGGGGGGATGGAAGGGAAGGAGTAAGACCCAGATCCCTCGGGTAATGAAAGAATCATAACGGGAGGTTTTCTTATATTCTCGGCCTTTGGAGGTCTTTACGGGCCTTCGGGGCCGTTAAAAAAAAACTGAAGATGAAAAACCGGTCCATGGGAATGGGTCGAGACCTTCGAGGGTCGGCGTTATGAACAAAAAAACATGACGCCGGGGGTCTGGGGAGGGGGCTAGGTTCGAGGGTCGATTGTGGACGTCGTCGTGCGTCTTTCGTAGCCTCTTGCTGCGCCCTCGTTTTGGGTATAGCCAGGGTCCCGGATATGGGGGTACGATTAGTGATGGTGCCCCGAACCCAGAACAGAGGCCAGAATCACTAAACCAGGTCTGCCGTAGTTTGTGTTTTTCGGGTGGCGGCAGTTCCTGTTAGTGGAATGGGGGGGGCGTCCCCCGGTACTAACCAGGTCCCACTAAAAGGCGCGACTTCGTTGACAAGTCATACGTGTTACGGTTGCGCGTAGAAAAAAGGCGTTTGCGTCATGCCGATTTGCTCGCGGCAAATCCCGGCCACCGCGTTTGCAGATCTTTCGGCGTGGCAACTTTTCGAGCACCGCCAAGAGAACCGTACCGCGCGAAATGTTCGGGCGTGCTCCTTCGTTTTCTTCGTCGTTTTGTCACCCCTTCCATTCCTCTGTTGTCACTCGTCCCCCTCTCCCACCACATGGCACTTCTGGGCCGTATTGGGCTTGTGTTTAGGTCCTGTTGGGTTGTCTTGGGGGCCTCTTGGGGCACTCTTGGGCCGTCTTGGGGCTCTCTGGGACTCTTCGGGGCCATCGTGGGCCGTCGTGAATTCCCCGAAGGGTCTGTTGGTGCCGTCTGGGGTCGCGCCCGCCTCCTTGACGGTTCGGTGTCCTTGTCTTGCCTGCGGATTCCGGATGCAGTGCATCTGCGGCGGCGACGGCAGCAGAGTCGCCTTCAAGACTCGGCTGAACAATTGTTTCGCGTTTCCAAGCGGGGTGGCTAGTTGGGGGGTTCCGGCGGCCACGCCGAAACGTCTGTGTGTGTTGGGCGCCCCCGCTCCAAGAAATCGTGGTGGACGTAAGGAAGCCTCGGGTTCCTTGATAAATCCTCCCCAGGTGGCCTCGATGTTCCCATAGCCCGAGGCATCGTTCGAACCACCAAGTGTAGTCAGGAGTCCCCGATGTCCCACGTAAGGTCCTTATTCAATCGCTTCGCTCATTCCGCCGGCACATGTTGCATGATCGCTACTGCTTCGCCGTGGGCCCGGGGCCATTGGCGCCGCCGAGGAGGAAGAAGATGAGGATGGGGAAGGTGAGGGGAGGAGGAGGAGAGGATGAGAAGGAGAGGAGGAGGAAGATAAGTAGGAGGAGGAGGAGGAGGAGGAAGAGGAAGGGGCGGAGGAGGAAGCCTCTCGTTGGCATCATGTGTTGCTCTTGGGGCCAAACAGAGGCCTCTTAGGGTCTTTTGAGAAGCCGTTCGGGGGCGCCTGGGAGGCATTTTTGAAGCCTTCTGGGGGGCCTCCTGGGGGCCTCCTGGGGCCTCTTGGGGGCCTGTTTGTAGCATCTTGGGGCCTCTTGGGGCCTCTCGGGGCCTCCTGGGGCCCTCTTGGGGCGGAAGGCGCGAGGTTTCGGTTCGTGCTCCCCCTGGGCCCCTCTTGGGGCCGTCTTGGGGCCATCTTGGGCCGTCTTGGGCGCCGCCGTCTCGGGGCCCTCTTGGGCCCTCTTGGGGCCCTCTTGGAAGCCTCTTGGCCCGTCTTGGGGCGCTCTTGGGGGCCTCTTGGGCCGTCTTGGAGCATCGGATGGCCGAAAAGCGGACAAGGCTCAAATCCTTCCAAAACCATCGTAAAATTTATGATTTGGGCCTCTCGGGGCCCTCTTGTGAGGCCTCTTGGAGGCCACTTGGTGGCCTCTTGGGCCGTCTTGGGGTCATCATCGGCGTCTTGAAGCGCTCTTTGGGCGTCTCGGGAGCCCTTTGGGCGGTCTTGAGGGCCTCTTGGGGCACTCTTGGAGGAGGAAAACCATCTCTGGGTAGCAGTGGTCGGGCTGCGGTCGGGGTACTTTTCGCTGGGGGATTCCCAGGGGCCGCCCCGCGCGCGCGAACTAGAAATATTGTTAACCAGTTACCGGAGATCTTAGCACGCCTCTGGCCCGTTGGGCCGGCGAATTTTCGGATTTAGCTCCTGGGAGGTCAAATTCTGACTTTGCCCTGGTCCGAAATCCGGCTTAATCCAGCGTGTTCCCGCTTACTCTGGTTCAGTCCCGCTTAATCCGCGGCCTAATCCGGCGTAGTAGCCCCCCAAAGGGGCTCAATCCTCCGTATTCTTTCTGGCAAAGACCTCCCAGCAGTTGCCTCCGAACTTATTTCTGTGGCCGGCGGTCCCACAATTGAGGCCTTTTGGGGGTCTTCGGAAGTCCCACTGGTCCCTTTGGTCCCACAGGTCTCGCAGATCCCGCAGGTCCCACGGGTCCCACAGCTCCCACAGGTCTCGCAGGTGTCGCAGGTCCCACAGGTCTGATAGGTATCACAGGCCCCACAGATCCCACAGGTCCCTCAGATCCCCCAGGTCCCATAGGTTTCGCATGTCCCACGCGTCCCACAGGTCCCACACGTCCCGCGTGTCCCACGAGTCCCCCTGGGTCCCACACTTGTCGCAAGTCTCATAGACCCCGCAGGTCCCGCAGGTCCGACAACTCTCGCAGGCGCCACAGGCCTGGCAGGTCTCGCGGGTCTCGCAGGCCTCACACGTCACATATGTCCCACAGGGTCCTCTACATGTCCCACGGCTCCTACAATGCCCACAGGCCCCGCAGGCCTCGCAGGTCTCGTTTGTCCTTCAGCTCCCACGCGACACACAGGCTCAACAGGCCCAACAGTGCAAGAGGTCCAACAGGCCACGCAATTCCCACATGTCCTACATGTCCAACAGGTCCCACAGGTCCCACGGGTCCTAGGGCCCACAGGTCCCACAGGTCCCACGGGTCCCACAGATCCCACAGGTCCCACAGGACTCACAGCTCTCAGAGGTCTCACGGGCCACTCAGGTCTTACAGGCCCCACAGGTCCCAAAAGGTCCCACAGGTCCCAAAAGGTCCCACAGGTCCCGCAGGTTTTGGGCACCACAGGTCTCACAGGTTTCGCAGGTCCCACAGGCCCTACAGGTCCCGCAGGTCCCACAGATCCCACAAGTCCCACAGGTCTCGCAGTTCTCCGCAGGTTCCGCAGGTCCCGCAGGTCCTACAGGTCCAACGGCTGCCGCATCCCACAGGTCCCACAGCTCTCACAGCTCAACCAGGTATCGGTGGTCCCGCAGGTCCAACAGGTCTCTCATGCCACCTTTGCTGCCATCAGGGTGCGTTCCTTGGGTATGCTTCGGAATGCTGGGCTTGCGTACGTGCTTGAGCCGCGCGCAGAGCCGAATGGGCCATGAACGCGAGTGGGAAGCGCTGCCCGACAAGTAGGGACTTGCGCCACGTCGTGGATCTGCTGTGTAAACTTGCGGAGGCGGTGGTCACCATCAAGGTGGAGGAGAAGCCCAAGGAGAAGCCGAAGCCCAAAGAGCCCGAGGAGGGGTGGCGCGGGCGGGCATGGCCGTGGATGCTCTCCTCGCCTCCGTGTCCTCGGGTCACCTCCTCTCTGCATGCCGTCGCCCTCCCCGCCCGTCCATCCCCTCAGGTGCAGCGCCGTGGGGGGGGGATACAGTCAACCCGCATACCAACGATGGGCGACGCTCTAAGTCGGAAACTGGAACATATACATTACCAGTGGCGGGCTGTCTCTTGAATCCCAGGACTTCTTGAGGGGCGAAGACGACGCTGGGGTGGTGTGGTGTATACTTGTTCCCCGATGTCCCGGGAAAACAACGAAAAATATATACACCAGGATACCGTATACACCAGAATTCGCGTTCCTGTGCGAATTTCAGCGCAGGGTCGGGAAAAGCGTCGGTGTATAGAATTCGTTTCCCTACTAAGGTTATCCTTGCATCCTTCCCCTTCGGCCCATCCTTGGCCGCTCTCGCTGGCCGCGCCCCGCTCGCAGCGTCGACCTGACCGCCCCGGACCCCCACGTCCTTATCGCGAGTCTCTATCATACGGGTTGACGGCAGGCCAAGGGGGAAATGCATCGACCCCCAATCGTTTTTCTCATCGCCGATGACAGTTTGATAGCCCACCCCACCCAGGAACCTTCGGATTTGTGATCGGGGGCAGATCGCCGATCTATCGGCGATATATATATATATATATTATATATATATATATATATATTTATATATATATATATAGATAGAGCTTGCTGGATAGTTTTCGGAATGCCAGGTTTCTCATCCAGCCTCGTCTCGACGTCCGTGCTCCTGGAATGGGCTGCCTTTGATGTTCTGCCAGCCTCTCTCTCAGGATTCACGCTCGTAATCATTCTGGCTCAAGATCGCCTGGCGGCGATCGGAACGGGCGCCACGGCGAACCACTCCCAGGTCGCAGTTTGCGCGCGATCAGCCCTCCTCGCTGGCTCGGGGGCGCTGCTCTGGAGCCAGGTAGCCTGGCATCTGGCGAGCTGGGCTGCTGGGCACTTCGGGCCTGAGGCGGCTCGGGTGCTGACCGTCGCGGGGGCGCGAGGCGTCGCCGCGCTGGGCGAGGCCGCCCACGCTGCCTCTGGCTGGGGCTGGCGCGCGCTGCAGGCGGCAGCGACCTTCGCGAGCTCCTTGCTTGCTCTCGCTTGGGAGCATCGCGGCTGGCTGGCACGGGGAGCCCGAGCCGCCTGGACGCGTGGCCGCGCGGCGCTTGGGGCTGCTTGGGCTCTGGGCGCGCAGGCCGTCGGAGGGCTCCGTGGCTGGAGGGCGGCCCGTCGGGCCGACCGCGCACGCGCTCGCGAGCTCGCAGCCGCATCAACCGCTCTCGAGTACGCCTTGGTGGAGATGGCGCTTGCAGGTGGCATAGCCGTCGGGGCGGCCGACCCTTGCTGGGTGCTGCTTTCCCGCGGCGGCGAGTGGGACGAGGTCCTGGTCTTCGGGCAGGTGCGGGGCGCAGACTACAGCCTGGGCTTGACGACGGACGCGACGGGGGTCACGTTCATCTGGGTGCTGGTGCGCCTGTTGCCGGGGCACTTCCGCGCTGTGGTCGTGCCTGGAGGGGGAGGCCTCCGCATGCCGCCGTTTGGCGTTCCTGGCGCCCAGGTCAACTGGGTGTGCGAGCCGCCGCACGCCGCGGTCCAGTGGGACCCGAGTGTGGCCGAGCTTGCCGCGCTGCGCTTGGAGGCCCAGGGCGTGGACGCGGCCCTGCAGACGTTCGTGCTGGCGCCGGGGGCGGTCTTCGACGCGGGCTCGCAGGCGGCGGCGATCCCCGCCTTCATGCCAGCGGGGGGCCCTCTGCCCCCCGCAGGGGGCGGTGCCGTCGTACCAGCAGCAGCGGGAGTTGCAGGAGCCGCAGCGGCGCCCCCGCCCGCGGGCGCGGTTGCGCTACCCGCCGCGGGCGCGGCGGGGCCCGCGGCTGCCGCGGGTCTGGGCTTCGGCGCCGTGGGAGCGCCCGACGGGGCAGCAGCCGCCCCCGCAGCGGGCATCGACCTGGCTTCACTGCTCCAGGAGGTCCGCGCGATCCAGGGCCAGCTGCAGGATGGAGGCGGCAGCAGCAGCAAGCGAGAGAAGAAGGACAAGAAGTCTGCCACCAAGAAGAAGAAGAAGAGAAAGAAAAAGAAGAGGTCCGACTCCAGCGGCTCGTCAAGCTCGAGCGACAGCAGCTCCTCCAGCAGCAGCGACTACCTGCGGTGGCGCGGGCCCAAGGCAAAGAGCCATCGGGTCGACCCCGCCCAGGAGCGCAGGTTGGAGACCGAGAAGTTCAAGGCCAAGGGCGACCTCCTGGCGTTCGCGGCGAAGCACCCAGGCGCGCTCTCGGGGTACTTCCTGGCGATGGTGCACCGCAAGCTGAGCCACGGGCGCTTGACGGAGACCAAGCAGCTGAGGCGCGCGTCGGTGACGACGTGGGCGCAGGCGCACTCGGGCTTGACCGAGCTGCGGGACCAGCGCGAGGTGCAGACGTTGGCGCTCGTCATGGACCTGATCAACGCGCAGGACCTGGCGACCGCGATGGACGTGCTGGCGCAGCGCATCATCGCGATCCAGCGGGCGAAGGCCAAGGGCGGCTCCTGGGAGAAGGCAGAGGCCGCGGAGCTGCTAGCTGGCACGGGGGGCGGGGTCGCCGCAGGCGGCCTCTTGAAGCTCACCATGTGACGAGGTGGCGGAGGGCGCGGCAGAGGTGGCTGCGCCGCGGGGGCCAGGAGTGCACGATGGCTTCCGTCTTGGTCGGTCTGGGCGACTGGCTGAGCTTCGCTGGAGGGCCGCTGGGGCTGCCACTACGCCGTGGGCACCTCGTTCGGCCGCGTGTCGTGGAGTTCGGGAAGACCCCGCCAGGCATCTTCCCAGTCCCTCTGCTGCGGCGTGGTGACGCCGAGCTCGCAAAGTTCGGGCGGCAGCATCGGGACGCAATTTTGGTTTGGGCGAACATGTGCATCGTCGCGCTCAACGATCTGTACGACGGAGACGGCGACTACACCGTGTTGCCGACGCAAGCCCAGCGACGTGTGCAAAGGCGCATGCTGATGGGCGTCTCCCGCTTCCTCGCGGCCGAGTTGGCTTGGCCAGAGGCGGCGACAATTCAAGAGGTCCTGCGTCACTCCGACGGCTACGAGCCGTCCAGGTGCGTCGCGGAGCCCCTCGGCGAGCGTGGCGGAGTGCCAGACCGCGCCGCCGTCGTCGACCTGGCCGGGCTGCTGGACGAGCACTTTCCTGGGCTTGCTCATCAGGTGCGCTGCCCTCGATCGCTGCTCCTGAGCGTGGATCGGCGGCCCGCCAGGCTCAAGAGGCCTCACACGCTGGTGGGGCCCACCTACCCCAGTCTCGTGGCGCGCAACGTGGCGGCGGGCCTGCAGGGGTACGGCTCCAAGAAGAGGGTGCGCAAGCATCGTGGGGTTGCTCTCGTGGCTGGGGCGTTCGGCGTGAAGAAGTCAGACACGGAGCAGCGGGTGATCTCGGACCTGCCAGTGAACCAGCTGCTCAACCCTGATCTTCTCCCTCGGCCGACCTTCGCGTACCCGCCGCGGCTCCGGGTGGTGAAGACGCTGCCAGGCATGCGGGTCAAGCTGTGGAAGCGGGACCTGCGCCACTACTTTCACCAGCTGGCGATCGGCAAAGCCTGGCGGAAGTACATGGCCCATCCGCCCGTGCCTGACCCGCGCGGAGGGAAGGGGGTGGTCTTCCCGTTCCACCACGCGACGCCGATGGGCTTCGCGCCGTCGGCGGGCTGGGCACAGGCGGCTTCCGACACCGCTTTCCTGAAGGCAGGGCTACCCCAGGAGCGCAGGGTGACGTTTGACCAGCCCTGCCCCGCCGAGCTGCCGCTCTGGGGGTCCATCATTGACGACCTCTGGGCGCTGGACGCGCGCTCTGCAGGCGACCGCGCGCGGAGCCAGGCCGACTTCTGGATGTCCAAGGCCGAGCGCGCCTGGGACCGCTTGGGAGTTCCCGTGTTTCACGGCAAGTCCGTGGACGGCGGCAGTGGCGAGTTCCAGGGCACCGAGGTCCACCCCACGGAGCACTGGCTGGGCACCACTCGCCGCCGCCGCGTGGACCTCTTCGCGGCCACCCTCGCACTCCTGGGCCAGCAGCTGGTCTACCGCAAGGACGTGGAGCGCTTGGTCGGGAAGCACGGTTTCTGCCAGAGTTATCGGCCCTGCTCGCGGTCGAACTTTTCTCAAGTGTATTCCTGGCTGGAGCGCCTACCCTTGCAGGGGCGCAAGCCCGTGGCGTGGTGCCCGTTGGCGTGGCATGAGGTGCTGATGTCGGCTATCCTGCTGCCGTTCGCAGAGCAGGACCTGGATGCGGATTGGTGCCCACGCGTGGAGTGCACTGATGCCGCGCCAGGAGGGCATGGCCGCGCCTGGGCGACGCTGCCGCTGGAGTCGGCGCAGCACATCGCCAGGTGGGCTGACCATCGGGCGCCCTACACCATGCTCGGTGACGGCTTCGGTGTTGACGTGGACGTCGAGGGGCGCTGCAGCCTGGCCCGTGTCACGCTGCCGCCAGTGGGCCACTGGTTCAAGGTGGGCAGGCCAGGCGGCTATGAGCACATCACGCTTGAGGAGGCGCACGCGAAGCTCTGGGGCATGGAGGCCCGTCTGCATCGGCCCTCCGAGCTGGGGAGGCGAGTACTGCATGCTGGAGACAACGCCCCGTGCGAGGGCGCCTTCATCAAGGGACGCAGTGCCAGCCGCAGGCTCAACCGGCGCTGCCGCCGTGGGGCGGCTATCGAGCTCGCGGGCGGGTTCTCGCACTTCCACTTCTGGATCTCGACAGGCAAGAACCCCGCCGACGAGCCCAGCAGCTGGCACGGGTCACGCCAGGCGCGTGGCGGCAGGCGCAAGCCGCCTCAGCCGCTGCCCCGCCAGGAGGTGATCCCGCTGGCGCCAGCAGGGTGGGCATCTCGCGAGAAGCTCTTCCTGCACTTCTGCTCTGGGCCCAGGCGCGAGGGCGACCTGTGCGAGATGGTCGAGCGGGAGGCGCGCGAGGCTGGCCTGGTGGTGA